CTGGAGAAGATGACGCAGCAGTGGATGAACCTTCCTCAGAAATGGTATCATCGTTGATGACAGTCTCCTCGACACCATCCATAAACTCCCTTGACTCGACCTCTTCACAGCATCCGTTGAGCGTGTACCCGGTGTCGCTGGCATCAACAAATGCCTCGAGACCGGCGCCCTCGCGGGGGTACTCCTTCATAAGCTCCTTGTGCACCTTGAGCGCGGCGCACATGTCCTCGTACGAAATGTCGTTGAGGAACTCACACTGGCCGATGGGTGAAGGGATGGCGGCGCGCAGCTTGCCGTCACGGGTCTTGAGGATGGCGGTGGTGCCCTTGTCGAGGATGGCCTCATCGAACTGCGGGTGATCCATCGACAGACCGGCGCGGGAGAAGAGGTTGAGGAGGCGGCGGTGCTCTGCGGAGGAGAGCTTGCCGAGGACGTGGGCGAGTGTTGCGGAGTAAGCCATGTCGATGGAGATGGCGTGGCCGTGGCGGAGGGGCACGTCAGGGACGAGCTCGTGAAGAGGGGACCATCTGCAAGGTGTCAATGGCGTTCACGGGTGGCTGCAGGAGAGAAACTTACGTGTGTCCGTAGGCAATGACACGGTCAAGCATGATCTCGTGCAGGTTGGGTGTCTCAAGCTTCAACATCTCGTGGATACCGTTACGGTTGATCCTGTCCGCGGCATCGCGGACCTCGCTGCTGCTGCCATCGCAACGGCCGAAGCCTGTGCCGATCAACTCCTCGCAGAAGCGGTCCAAGAGATCAAATGTCTCGAGGTGTGCGCAGGTGGAGATCTTGATCAGCTCAGCAAAGCCATTGCGGATTTGGGCAGTGGGCAGTGTGCGCAGGAACGTGAAGTCGAGGAAGGTGCGGGAGGGCGCGTGGTACGCTCCCAGACGGTTCTTGTAATTGCCGTAGTTCACAGCAACCTTAATGGAGACGGAGGCATCGATGAGACCAATGACGGTGGTGGGGATGCGGATGTATGGCGTGTTGCGGCGGTAAGAGGCGCATGCAAAGCTTGTGGGGTGTCAGAAAGGGGGTGTGTGGGATGAGGGGGGGATTGGAGCTTACCCGGCGACGTCAGTGACGAGACCACCTCCGACAACGAGAACGGGTTCCTGGATTAGTGTGTTAGCCGACGTTCCCAAGCTTCAATAGCATGGCTGCGTGAACGAACCTTGCGGAAAACTCCAAACTCGGTCATGGAATCGACGATGCTCAGCAGCGTCTCCATGGACTTGGCCTTCTCGCCAATCATGGTCTTGTGGATCTTGAGCTCAATGCTGTAGTGGTCAAAGTACTCCTGCATCTCCTTGCCGTATAGATTGAAGATGTTGAGGTCCATGACGGCCAAGCAACGCTTCCAGCGGGAGTAGCAGTCGGCGAGCTGGCGGTTCTGCTTCTGGAAGACGCCATCGAGGAACTCGAAGTCGTACTCGATCTTCTCGTAGCCGCAGACGGAGAAGCCCTGCTTGGTCGGCTCGACCGTTGCCTTCATGTCGGAGGCCATCTTGTGTAATGTTTGAAAGTGTGGGTGTAACTCGAGGAGCACACTAGGAATCCGGGTGAAAAAGGATGTGCAATGGGAGGGTGTCAAGAACGTCAGGCCTGCAGAGGTGATGTTGAATGATGAGAGAGTGAGGATGAGAAGGTTGTTTGACATGTGCTCCCACGGCCGCCTTTTGAATAAATCTGTATTCTCCTGAACCTGAACCTAGACCTCTGCAGCCGACAAGCATGCTCCCGTCTGACGGTTCCATTGGCAAAGCAGCGCATGCAAGTGATCGGTCATTGTCGACATCATCACTTGCGCCTCCAACGCTCATTCAGGGACCCCCACAAGCTTGACCGACTTCTTTTCGTAACAGAGAGCATCCAGTTGCGCGGAATCCCATCCCAGACGAAAACGACACGACTGGCAAAGAGCAGCAAGAGGCAGACCAGAGCTTCGAGTGCGCGGCTTGTCCCGCCCAGCTGAATCTGCCAAGTCTATCTCGTTCCCTTGCCTAGATGCAGTCGTAGCTGCAGTTACAGCATGAGCTAGTGGTGCGAGCAGCCGTAGGGTCGGCATAGAAAACGGTGACAAGTACACTCGACCCGTCTTGCCCGTAGTGGTTTGGTCACAAAACTCAGTCGTGGATACTCGACCAAGTCCAATTCACGTCTGGCAGCTCTTTCTCTCGGCATGTCGTGTTACAACGAGAGTCATGATGCTCATGATGTTGCAGATGGCTCCATAGACCCTGGCTGAAGACGTCCAAGAACGAGAGCTTGCACAGGCGGCGCGCCGTTCTAGCCCTAGCTCCGCATGCCACGGGCGGTTGCCGTCGGTGTGAACCAATGCGTGGAAGCGCTTTGGATGGCGTGTAGGGGTTCGGAGGGGTTTCCGTCCGGTATGGAGGCGAAAGAGCAGGGGTGAAGAGAGGCAATCAGGAAATCCCATGTTTCACAACAGCGAAAAGTCCATTCCATCATAGATGGCAGTTGGCAGGCCGCGCCAGCCTCTTTTCAGTTTCCCGGTCTCTCTTGAACAAGGAAAAGGGCCATTGTCTAGCGTTGATCGACACGAATCGTGGAATCTGGATATCGCACGTGGGGTAGGATGAACGGGAGACAGATCGGGGGGAGACAATGATCCGGTGAGCCGCATCTGGATCTTGGAGGTCTCTGGTTGGCCCGGGGAGAGAGATGCTAGGAGGGGTTTCCTGATATTTTTCTGTTTTCTGGGCCGATGTTTCGGTCGGAACATTGTTGGCCAGTTAGCCTTTGCGGGTATGCGTTGCATCGATCGGATGAATGCAATTAATCGTCTTGGACCAGCGGCGTTTGCGTTTTTCTTCCGTCAGCCCACGTCGTTGACCAGAAGTATGTACTCCGTACCTTGCCTGCCCGAATGCTTTTGAGCTATTTTTTCTTCTTCTCGTCTGCTTGCTTCTTCCTGATTTCCCCGCAATAGGGCGCAGGTCCAGCTCACCGAGGTAGCTGGCGGTGAAACTCAATTACATCGAAGACGCGGTCTGATGAGGTGTTGTGCGTGTCATGGACTCGAAGTTGCCCAGGCTCCAGCCCCCCTTGGACTTAGCCCCACCATCCCGCTCCCGCTCCCTGATCGCGAAAGCAGGTGACATGAACGGGTCCCTATTTTACCCCGCCATAGGCATGTGAGGTAAGGTGATCAAGACGGGAGCTGGAGGTCATCATTTTATGCTGCGGTACCTTGTCCTCCTCGGCCCTGTCGTGCTTAACACAAGTACCCCCTCACTGCTTGCTCCCGCTGGGAAGCTTTGCTCTTGCCCATCGCCCACCCCCCGGGAATTATGCCTTGCAAAGTGCATTGAGGGGCAGCTCCACAGCCCGCGGGTGGACGATGTTGGGGTAAAGGTCGCCGAGAGCTGCGTTTCCGGACGTACTCGGCATGCTGGCGCGAGCTGCTTCGGAGATTCTGCAATGGGTGTATCAGTGCTAATCCGTCTCGTTGAATCGTGATAATAATCGTCCATGTCGCTGCCACAGACTGCTTCGCACTCCTAAATCTCCCTTCCTTTTTTTCTTTCTTGGTCATTTTTCTAGTTTGACTTGCATCATAAACCCCCAGACAGACTCCAACAGAGACACACAAGATGCCTCACTTTGACGAAACCAAAGCCTACGCGGTGCAGGAGGAGGTCTTCTTCGACGATGGCCGCGAAATCGAGCTGCTGCACTTTGTCTACGCCCAGCCAGACATTGACGAGATCCGCGGCTCGCCCGAGCGTGTGCTGGCCGCCATTGATGGTTTCGGTCGCAAGAAGAAGTACCTCATGAACGTCGGCGAGGACAAGGGCAAGATCGTGACGGATCTGATTGCTGAAGTCAAGCCCAAGGTTATGGTACAATACCCCCACCCCCCAAAATGCCCCTGTCAAACCCAGCTTTTTTTGAGTTGCACACGAGATGGCCGCAGATCATCCGATCTTTCCCTAGGGAAGGCTTCCGCGATTTTTGACTTTCATCTAACCATGATCAGGTCGAGCTGGGCGGGTACGTCGGCTACTCCTGCATCCTCTTCGGCGCGGCGGTCCGCAAGGCGGGCGGCCAGCGCTACTACTCCCTCGAGCGCAACCCCGAGTTCGCCGCCGTCATCATGTCCCTCGTCGACCTCGCCGGCCTCTCCGACATCGTCAAGGTCGTCGTCGGGCCCAGCGACGCCTCCATCCAGCGCCTGCACGCCGCCGGCGACCTCCCCAGGATCGACCTCATGTTCCTGGACCACTACAAGCCCGCCTACACGACCGACCTCAAGCTGTGCGAGCAGCTCGGCATCGTCGCGCCCGGGTCCGTCCTCGCGGCCGACAACGTCATCAAGCCCGGCAACCCGCCGTATTTGGAGTACGTGCGGAGCTCGGTCGCGGAGAAGCGCGCCGCCGCCAAAGATGTTGCCAAGGCGCGCAAGGAGAGCGGCTTCTTTGACGACCGGACCGCGAAGCAGTATCTTAAGCGCGAGGGCGAGGAGAGGTTAGACTTGACGAGGGTTGGAAACCCGCATCTCAAGTATGAGAGCCGGCTGATCAACAGCTTCGAGCCGACTGGTGTGCCCGTGAGTTTCTCCCACCGCTGCGAAGCAAGTCATATGCAGCTTCTGACAAGATCTAGGACGGTGTTGAGATCACAAGATGTATCAGCGAGGAAGCTGAGTAGGAGCGGTGTGATGATGTGACAAAGAAAAATATAATGAAATCGAGCCAAATCGCCCACCCTGTCGCTCAGCCGCACAAATCAGAATGTGCTGCAATTTCGAGCGTAACATGTGACGCAACATACAAAACTGTTTATTGGACAATGTCATGTGCAGTTAGCCTCCAATCTAGGGCGCCCTCATACTCCGGCGGTTCAGGGCTTCTCCTCTCAACCGCCTGTTTGTTTCATAAAACCCAGCAATGCTTCTGCCCCGGCTGTATCCCAATAACGCCGTACTCATAAACAGCCATCCATCTCTCTTTCTCTTGTCACAAGCAGACAGTTTAAATTCCCAACCAGGTCTTGGCGCGTTCGTAAGTGTAGAAGCTCACGGCTGCCAAGGGGAACACCTTCACGTAACCAATCGTCAAGCCCACAAAGAAGCCTGGCACTCCCCTCTCCCTAAAGATCATCGCGGCCGTTTCGCTGATGCGAAGCCGGTGACCGTCCCCAACGGCACCGCCAACTTGCATGCGCCTGCGGATGACCTCGAGTGGGTACGATGTGGTCTGCGATACCAGACCAGCGACACCACCGGCGAGCAGCTCGGCCCAAGAGCGGAGCGGGGCTGCCTTGCCCTCGGGTGCATTCTTCGGCTGGGGGAGTGTCGTGTACTTGGCGAAGCTCGGGAGTCGGAGGATATCGCCTACAGTATCGTGTGTGAGGAAGGACATGCCAGCGTACGGCAGCATGCCCAGCAGCGTCGGCGAGAAGCCTCTATAGAAGTTGGCCAAGCCCGAGCGCGGTGCAATTGCGGCGATAGGCGCAGCGACCGCGTCGGCCACGGTGCCGGTCGGCTTCGCGGTGGTCCGCACGAAACGCTCGTTGTAGATGCGCCGGCAGATGGCGGTTAGTGAAGACCCGCCGTGTTTCGTCTCGAAGGCCAAGCGCACGCGGATGACCTCCAAAGGGTATGTGAAGAATACAGAGGTGACGCCGGCCATGGAACCGCTCAGGAGGCGGCGCCATGGGGTCTCTTGGTCTTTGTTCCGGATGATGATGGATCGTATTTGTTCGTACGCGAGGAATTTGATGCCGGCGTAGGGAAAGATTCGAAGCAGCGTTGCAGAGTGTCCCCTAAACAACCCTAACACACCTTCGTGGGACTTGATGTCCTTCATCGCCGTCGCAACACCGAACCACGACCCCGTGTACTTTGCGAACTGGGGGTTGCTCGCCTGGAAGAGAATCTTTACGCGGTCGAGGGGCGCGACGACCGTCTTTGCCTGCATGACCCGGTGAAGTCAGACATGGCCGCCGTACAGATAGATCGTGGTCACCCAGGGAGCCAACAACTTACAGCACAACCCGCCAAGCCTCCCGCGACGCCGGACCGCCAGACATAGTCGAAGGTCCGGGTCTGTTTCCTCAGTTCTACCGTGTCATCTTTGTCGGTCGGGCAGACGGGAGGACTCCTCGTGTCGGCTTTTGATCGCTGCGTCTTCGGTGCTACCTCCGACATGGAGGCATGTTCCATCAGCGCTGACGGCATTCCCTGGCCAGCGCGACCCGCGGTTCTCGTTCCCTCGTCCGTGTGTAGTGAAGGCAATCGTAGCTACAGGAGCATTCCGTGAGTGTCGGTGTTGGAGCGTGTGTGTAGGTCGGGGAGTAAATTAGAGCACAAGTAGGGAAAGAATCGAGGTGGCACGCGAGGAGGGTAAGGATCGTGGGGCGGCGGTGATCGTGGAGAAGTTGCAATGGGAAATGGAAGGGAAAAGGGTTCTGGAGCCGGAATGCGACGGGGCGGACGTCATACGGGCGAGATTTTTAAAAGGCTCCCTCTCATTGAAGAGTCGCCCTCTGGGGGGGGCCCGCGGGGCGCTCAAGCGGACCGGCGCTGCCAATGGGGGAGGCACTTTTTTGGTGGGAGAGGCACTGTCGGACTGTCCTGCCCGCTGAGTCTAGTACAGGGGTCAAGGCCACGAGCCGAAGATTGCCGAGCGTCGTCGCGGGCGTAAGGTACCTTACACTGGACACGCCTTCGGATAGAGGCGGTGGCAGTTGCGAGTGGCCGACTTCGCGGTTACTTTACTTTGCAGCACGAGACCACTGCGCCTGGATCTTTAACTCCGTCCAGCAGCTTTGTTCTGGCCAAGGTACGGATACCGGTGCTGAAAAGACGCTGTACGCTCACGATGTCTACACGTGCGTGTACCTGAATCACACACGTTGGACACGACTTTGGCGTGCCAGCTAGGGATCAGTAGTCTTCAACAATTTTCCCACCAGGAATAAGATTATTCCCCAAGGGAAATAGGCCCCAGACCGCCCGTCTTGTCTTCCCAGGAGAAACAGCGCCAACGCAGGACCTCGGCACTACTGCGCCGTACTATCTTTTCCCACGGCCATCCCAGCCAAGCCCCAGGTCCCGTTCGATTGCACTTGGACTGCGCCGGGCCTCAATTCACGCCTCCGGCCCGTCATAGCCACATAGTAGGGCACTATCGCATTAAGACCAGAGAAAGTCCGACTTCACATAAAATTATGGTCTCTGGTCCGCCTTCAAAACCCGACCGGTCAAGCTCTACATCGCCAAAGTGCATCCTGTTCCGCGATGAGAGCCAGACAGTGTTCCTTGTGGACATCCCTGCCTCCATCGAGGAAAGTCAGCACCTCCCGGACCAAAGTGCCGAGACAACATCCGGAGGAGGAGGAGGAGGAGGGGGCCCACGGCGGCTCCTGTCTCTCGACCCTGTCGCCGAGCCCTATCCGTTACCGGAGCCGCGGAACCCCCACGTCAACCAGAGCACGCCGGCGAGCCAACTTGCAGACCTCATGATCGAGGCGGCGGTGAGGAGCGCTCTCGACACGCTAAAAGAGCACCATGCCGCGCCGTTTTGTCTCCCAAGAGTGACCACCACCAAGAGCAGCATCACCGCCAAAACCAGCGGCGGTGACGATCAAGATGGCCTGCAGGAGCATGCCGCGCGTGAGACGGCAGCCGCGGCAGAGGCGCATTTCATTCCTGAAGGGTCATCGCACATCAGCGGCTCAATCGAGGATACTCGAGATGACTTCGTCTCGACGGCACCTTTATTTGACCTCATCGTCCTGGATCCGCCTTGGCCGAACAAGTCCGCGAGGAGAAAGACCGGAGGGTATTCCACGGTATACGGGCTCAAGGAGACCCGGTTGCTCCTCGAGCAGATTCCTGTCGGCGGGCACCTTGCAGACGGTGGCCTCGTCGCCGTCTGGGTCACTAACAAGCCTAGCTTAGTAGACCTTCTCACATCGCCCAAAGGTGTTCTGTTCGGATGGGGTCTGGAGGTTGCTGCTGAATGGACATGGGTTAAGATCACCTCGCAGGGGGAGCCCATCTTCGACACCGAGTCCGCGTGGAGGAAGCCGTGGGAAAGACTAATCATCGCCAGGCGTCGCAGCAGCGGGGAAGGCCGCAAAATACCCCAGCGGATAATCGCTGCTGTGCCAGACGTCCACTCGAGAAAACCAAACTTGCGCCCGTTATTCGGAGACCTGCTCCCCCAAGAATTCCGCGGCCTCGAGGTCTTTGCACGTCACCTGACAGCAGGCTGGTGGGCATGGGGCAACGAGGTCCTGCGCTTCCAAGAAGGCCATCACTGGGTTGTATCAAACACGGCTGAAGAGAGTAACGAATTTGATGATACTAATTGACATGATCTACATCTCCATGCCATCCTTTTTTTGTGTTGTACACACATGCGGCGATCACCGCATGTTCACCTTGAGCTGTCTGATGTTTTGTACATGAGGTCCACCACGCACTGCCATCCCAGCGACGACATCACGCCCCCTCGCCTATCCAGTGCAACTCGTCATCGGCAATCTTCTCTTCATTCATCCGCTCTCTGTGCTCATTGTTTCTCTACCTCCTTCTCACCGGCCTCCTTCTCAGCGAACCTCTTCGCCTTCTTTTCCCTCCTCGCCGGCTTCTCCGGGTTCTCCGTGTCATACTTGTTCTGCTTCGCCTCTCTCTCCCTCTTCGCCACCGCCGCGATCTTGTCCCACTTGCTGTCCAAGTTGCCCGGCTCAACCCACTGCTTCTCCCCGTTCAGCAGCGCCTTTGCCTGTTCCGCAAGCCGCTTCCGCGGCGTGCTGGTCATGGCTAGTTCGCTGGGGTAATGCAGGTTACCGGCCTGGAGGTGGGCCTGGCTCTTGAAGTGCTCGTTCGCCGCGTCCGTACGCGCCTGCCACAGCTTCTTGTTCCAGGGCTCGAGGTTCTTAGGCGGGTCGGGCCACACGAAGGGCTTCACCAGCTGGACCATCATGAACTTCTTGGGCTGCGGGCGGTAGTATCCCCCGCGCGGCTTGCGGATCGCGCTGCTCGATTCCACCCATGAGCGCACCCCCGTCGTGTGGACTTTGTAGAGGTTCCAGAGGTAGTCGCGGATGTCGAGCTTTGTGAATGTGAGGGGCACCTGGAAAGTGGCCCAGTTGGGGGGGACTCTGTCTTTGCGGATGAAGGTGATGGTGTGGTTCGGCCTGTGTAGGGTGGTGAAAAGGTCAGTTTCTCCTCGCTGCTGGGGTGCGGTGACGGCGGTGCTTCTCACAGGTAGACCTTCTTCTCTCCGAGCTTGAAGCCCGGAAACAAGGGGTTAAACTCCTTTTTAACCAGTCCTCGCCACGATCTAGGCATGGTGTCGTTGCTGGCCTACGGTGCTCTTGGATTCTGGTGTGCGGCTCGCGAGAATCCAAAAAGTTCACAGCAAGGATTGAATTGCTTTCTGATTGGCTGAAGCGGGTCTACATAAGTCCGCCAGAGATAGTGGATCCGTCTCAAGGCGCTGGACGTGGAGCGGGGGAATTGTCCGGGTCCGATGCTGTACCCACATGGATCCATTCGGTGTCCGGATGCGGGGCTCCAGCCGGAACATCAGTCTAAGCGCATGACAAGACAAACGCCGAATCGTACAGTTGAATGTATTTGATAGCTTGCGCTATTTGGCTCAGAAATGCTCAAAAGTTCTACATACGCAGGTGTCTTCATCACGTGTGTTGATAGTTTGAATTTCCGTCACACGACATCCTGCCGTTTTAAGGTTTCAAGAGCTGAGCTCGAGCTGGCTCCGCATTGATGGAAACCACCTGCGTAATAGGAGAACCATCCCGTCGACGAGGTATTGCAGATGCCTCAGTCTGGGGAAGAAGCAGCCCCAAAGTTTTGAGACGCGCCGAGTGGCAGGCCGTTTGCCTATCCGATGTTTAGCCTGGCACGGCAAGCTGGCCAACGGCGTTTCGAGGGCGCTGTGCGAAAGATTGCCCAAGGAGTTGCCTTGTCCGTCAAAGCTACAACCCCGGATTTCAGCACCAGACGAGTCAAGTTATGTAAGCCCACGCACACGCGGAGTTAATTCCCCACTGGTTTATGAGGGGAAAGGTGCGCGTGACGAAGCTGAAATCTGGCATTGAAAACGAGGAATTGCGCGGGCTGGAGGATGCAGAAACCCGGTCAGTCAATTGGCGGTGGTGTGCGTTCGTGATTTAGGCAGAACCCACGGAGTAGTGGATCACAGTGACATACATGGCTGCAGGAGTTACAGGGCTCAGAAATAGAGTGGATTTGCGACTAATAAACACGTAATTGCTTCAATACTATCGAGATCTCAAGATCTCTTTACACATCTGGAAGGCTTTTCCCGTCCTTCTTACAGATTTTCATGAATCGTGAATGAACTTTTACCATCCATCCGTGTAATTCATGGGTATCATAATTCATTTAGACGTCGAGTCCGTCGACGACGACGCCCTTGTTCCAGGTCCAATGCAAGTAACGAGCGGCCTCCTCGGCCGACTCGTCGGAGACGAGAGCGCTGACGAGATACAGGGCCGCATCCACGCCAGCGCTGACTCCAGCAGCCGTGATGACACGGAGACCACCGAGGCGCATCGCGGCGCGGCGAGTAATGGACTCGCGGCGGCCGGAGCTCTTGAAGGACATGCTGCCCTTTCTGCTGTGTTGTTAGCCACGTTTAGTCAATTGGGTTTGGTATTAGCAAGCTGACGTACCTGGCGTTGGAGGGTCGGCGGCCGGCGTCGGATGTGCGACGGACATACGGGTTCTCGTCCTCGTCGCCGAGGTCGAATCGGAGGTTGTTGACGACGTATCGGGCATCCTCGATGACGTCGGTTCTCTCGGTCAGGTTGCGGGTGGCAGCCTCGCTGCAGAGGATCTCAAGGGTGGTGATGTAGTCTGAGTGGGTGGTGGCGGAGAGGCCGGCGAGGATGCCCTGCTTGGCAAGGAGGAGAGAGCCGGTGCAGACGGAGAGAAGGGTGCGCTCGTGGGTGGGGTCCTTCTTCTGCAGCTCGGAGAAGGCAGTGATGAGAGGGAGGGGTTCGGCGTTAGCCTTGATGATCTTGTCGCTGTCGCCGCCGACGATGACGAGAACGTCAAAGTCGCTGAGGCGCTCGTAGGCCTCCTTGAACGGGATCTGGGTGCCAATGGTGACGCCCGAGTCGGAGACGACCTTGGGCTCAGCAGCGGCG